ACAGAGATGAACTTACACACTTGCTTTACTTCTCTCTGGGAAAACTTCCTCGGAGATGAAATGCCGGTTAGCGAGGCTACAAATGCTCAACCAGACACCAACAGGTCTGGCACGCCACAGTCGCTCTATCACGTGACCACACTGCTCCAACGTGCTGCGGTTATGAGCTGAGTTACGCCGTGTAGCAAGTTTTGTGAGGTGCTTTTTTGATATTTAATGGATCGTATTACATTTTTTATTTCTCTCCAATATCTGATCCAGTAATTTAGGTCAGTATCGGACCGATACCGACATGTAATATCGGATCGGTCCATCTCTAGTTTATACTGGTCTGACTGCAGCTTCTACACAGTGACGTGTTTCTGACATTTTACAGGTCCCGTTTAAATTCCTGCACTCGTGTTTCCAGCACAGAGGCTTCACAGCGTGTTGTAAACCTTCCAGGACTCCTTCAGTGTTCACAGCCTTGCAGCTTTCAGAAGTGAACATGAAAACGAAAGTGAGAGGGGAAAGAGAAAGCAATGACGTCATCGCTGCACAGATGTTTCACGGTTTCTGTTTTGCGTTTGTGAACCAATCAGAACACTTCTGGTTGGTTTTAATAACAATAATAACAATAAAAATATTAATAATGATACGCAGAGAGTCCGTCTACGGTCAGGTTCTTCTCTCTCAGCAGATCCGCTGATTTCAGGTGTGCTGTGATTATTTCACTGGAAGTAAAATAAAGTGAAATGTGAGTGACAGGAACACGTTTATACACGAGTCCGAAGTCATCCTCTCGTCCAAACGCTGAAAACTAACCAGTCTTCAATGTTCTGAGCGCACCTTCAGCACCTGCAAGACCCACCAATCAGCGCCGGCCTCGCTCACCGGTCTGCAGGTACTTTTGCCCAAGAGGGAAAATGAAAGACGGACTTTTCCCCAATATTTCTGTTTCCTGTTTGTAAAATAAAAGCCTGAACTCTGCTGGCAGCATGGACACGCACTCTCAGCACCACACAGCATCTTCATCGTCTTCATCATGGTCACCTGGACCGGCCTACTCTTCGTCCTCTGTGGCGCCCTGACCCCTGCCCTCTGCTGTGATTGGCTCACACACTACAAGCAACCGAGCAAAGAAGCCCGGGACCTCCTCACTCTCATGGTGAGTACAGCACTGACTCCAGGTCCTTAAATTGGTCTTTAAAACATTCCAGGACT